TATATATATATATATATATATATATATATATATATATATATATATATATATATATATATATATATACAAAATTCCCTACACATATACATATGCATACATGTGTGTATAATAAAATGATTGACGAAACTTATATAAACTAAACTTATGTACATTCATTTCCAATTTAAAGTACCAACCATTCTGTATGAGTGGAATAACAGCAGCCTGAATACGCCGCGGTACCGAGTAGAATGATTTTTTGATAATATTGCGTAACAACAAATCTCCAAATCCTGCATTTTTCCAATCGCTAAAATTAAAGGAAACCTTGCTCTATAGCAGTATGCATTTAACTTTTATATAAAATTAAACTGTGAATCACATGCGTTAGAATAAAGGTGATTCGCACATCAGTGATCAATCCTATAATTCTACACAAACTCACTCTAATTTTAGCAATTTCTGCAACTGCGGAACTCCTGTTACTGTGACTTCTTGATCCAAATCACTTATCTGCAATAAAAAATTTGGCATTCAAAAGCACTGTAAAGCATTATGCTCAGTCGACCACTGATTTCGTTTATCCTTCCGCTCCTTACCACCTTCGCCTTTCCGCCAATTACTAGGAAAACGAAATTTTGCTCTACTTGAAAAACGAACAACGACCTCATATTTTGCATTCTCCGCATCCTCTCCATACATTTCTTCAACGGGTCGATCTTCCGGAATATGAGAAGAAAAACGAGGTCCAACTGAAACAAAATTTGTAGAAGACTACGAAGTAAACTTCATTTCTGAGTACCACACACCCCAAAGTATCCTGTCTTGTTCAGTTAACTAATGAAATCTCTGCTTTTACATGTAATAACATACCTCCATCTCTGGATACGCGGTTGCCAAAACTAGCTTCCGTACCTCTCTAAAAGTAATTGTTTGTTGGAAGAGAAGAATCACAGAAATTTTGTTACTTATTACCGTCTTTTTCCTTCTATTTTACAAGGAAGTACAACATGTAAAGTAAGTCCCATTTTCCCCTTTTCTTATCTTTCCTCGAAGTCCATTTTTCTGCGTTACCTGTTCCAATTCCTCTGTCATTATGTAGCAACTTGTTAGTTAGCTAGTTGGTTATTTAAAAGAAAAAAAAATGCTAAAGTTATTATACTAGCATGCAAAATAAAAATTTTCGATACAAAATTCAAAATAACTTACTGTTGCACCCGAAAAATGCTGATTCCCTATAAAATATCAGGATATATGCTAATTCATATTCGAACTGAGAAACAATTAATGGATAGAAGCTAAAGAGACAAAGAATTTAAAATAAAGGGTGACTGAAGTTTTGTTGGAATCTAGAAAGTTTTTTCAAACAGAAAATGATCGAAATTATTTCGCGTAACTTAAAATCATGGTGTATACAATTTCCAGAATTATTAAAATGCTAGATTGAAGAATCTTTTTCCGAAAATCCGATTTTTTTTTTTAACCAGACTTCGCAAATATTCCAGACAATCAAATCAATAAGTTAATTCGTACTAAATATTCTAACCTCGACCACTGTTTCGTCTACCACTCCAATCAGTACTGAAATTAGAATGGCCAAATCCAATTCTTCCTGAAACAGTTCTTAATCACGGAGGAAACTTTGTTAAATGAATTTATTGAAACCTCGGGAAATAAACTACCAAAATAGTTCATCCGTGTCCAAGCAATACCTTCACTATTGAAACCACTATTAAAACTGTTTCGAGCGCCAAAAGAAGTTTCTTCAGTATTTGCTCTGCTGCTGGATCCTTCAAAACGACCATTATTATAGCTGCTACCAAAGCCACGAGTATCCCGTCTACTTGAAAATCCGTCATACTTGTTACCGAATTTATCAAAGCTTTCATCTCTGTCACTGTCAAAATCACTCCTAAAACGGAAATCGCCGACGCGATTACTAGAGAAAGCGCGACCACTCCTGAATCCACTGCTGTGATTTGCAAATCCACCAGAACCATCATCATAATTGGAAGTACCAAAACTATTGCCGCGACGACCACCCGTATGATTTACGGTATCGAAATTATGACCATCGTTCAAACTACCACTAGCACCAAAACCACCACCACGACCGCCACTGCTTGAAGATCCTCTGTTTTTAGCACTTCCTGCTAAGAAACCACTATCCCTACCACCATATCTCGATGATAAACCACCACGACATCCAGTTGAGAAATCAGAAGTAAACTGGTTTTCACGACCGGATAAATATCCGTTACCATCCTCGTGATCACCAGAAAAACTACCACCACGACCTCCTCTAGTAAAAGAGTGACTGCCGCGGCGGTTACCAACATAATCTCCAGTATCGAATTCACTCGAGAAACCTGAATTTGAATTCGTAATTTGAAATATATCCTTTATTGAGTTAAAATATATCCATTCACCATTGATAACACCGAGATTTAGGGGACAAAGTTGGGAAAAAATGTTAAAACTATTTGGAAAAGCTTATTTGTTGTTTTCCCTGCAACAAATAACGACAGTAAAGCAAACATATATTTATTAGCATACAGTTATTAGTCAATACCTCGATTATAACCCGCAACGCGTTCCATCGTATTTTCTCTATTATATTCGTCGAAATTACTTCCCCCTAAGATACCATTGTTAGTTATATGCTACAATTTCAGCAAATAAAATTTTCGTTTTATATGACCGATTAAGAAGAAATTGGAATCGACATGAAATGATGAGTAACCACTTAAGCCAATATAGAAAGGATGACATTAAAGGGCTTACTGAAATAATGTAAACATGCAAATTTATATCATGAGAATTATAAAGGATAAACAGTTTTTTATGCTTTCAGTCAGCATCATTCATCAAGAGAACACTGGAATAGTAGAGATATTAAACGAAGTCAGAATTCCCAACATCGAAATTAGTGGTGCTATTTAGCTCCCTAGTAATCATGTGAAATCATTCACTGCTTGAACCTATTTCAAACGTGCTTGTTATATATACCGTAGGACTTACTTGAAAAACTATCCCGATGAAATGAACTTCGCACATCACTACTTCCATAACGATTTTCTTCAATGCCATCACCAACCTGCAAAATTTGCAAAAATCACAAAAGTCGTTTAAATTGAAATCTCGTTTAAATCTTTAGGAATAATTCACCTTATTAAAAGTTTCTGCATGTTATGGTTTCTTTTCTACTATTTCTTATAAAGGAAGTAGCTGCCATAACATGCAGCATAATCGTAAGATCAACCACAACCAGAGTCCATGATGGAAAGAATTGAATAATTAAACTAACATATTATACCTACCTTATTTCACTTCACATAGTGGACGCGTACATTTAAAATAGTGCGTAAAAAGAACTGCGTATTATTTTTAAATATTCAAATGTTACAAAATTATAGTGACACGTCCATTGTGCTAATTTTTTGAAAACCGAAATTGATACGATACCGGAGCAAAATGTGATTTTGGAAAGTATGAACTGTCAACTTCCTGCTCGAAGATTTTCCTGAAATTTCAATATTATTTGTTAGAAAAACTGATGAACTTCATTTCTTTTGCAAAAAAACTTAATACCATTATAGTTCAGTTGAACAAAAATCAGCAACAAAAAGAAACTGAGGCAAGGATATTTCATACTTTTGGAAAAAAAGGTTGAAAACAATTCAAAAGCAATTAAATTGGGTCTCAAGCAAGTAGTAAGAACGACTAAAGCCTTTGTAAAAATGGCTAATGCCCCAAGCAAGTAAAACGGCTAATACAGCTCAACACATTATTTACTCTTAATATATTACTTATTGATTAGTTTATCATTCAGCACAAACGAAAAATATCGGGTACTATGCTATTCATATAGATAATCTACCAGCCACTTACTGAATATCAAGCCGATATTACAAATATGAAATGAGCTAGATGGCTTCCCTGTTTGATTAAATCATTCTTTTTTGAATAAGTAAGTTAATGCGAAACAAATGATAAGATTAACTGCAAAGTATTAAGGCATTGCACATCATCGGTTTTCCATAAATTTGTTGCAATGGATTACTGTTACCTCAAAAATTTAATATCGGATAGCTACCGTATTAAAAGATCGAAGTACTGTCAGTTCCAACTCGACAAACTCCCATTTTCGACTAAATCTTAAAAAAGCACACCCTCCTTCAATTTACAATCCAGTCCATTCGAAATTGATTTGAAAAGGGAAAAACAAAAAAAAACATACCCTCGTCCAAATCCACCACTCATTCCGAAGTATGAGATGGAGCAATTAATGACAATCTTTCGTATTACGTCAACTGGAAAAAAAAACTAGTAATTTTTATGAACTATTCAAAAATAACGACGAATTATTAGAAATCTATTCTCAACGTTCAAACAAAACCTATTCTATAACTTTTTTATAACATTAAGTACACGAATTTCACAAAACTTTTTTTTTTAACTTATGCATCAGTTAGGAGTAGAGAAATGTAATGGGAGGTATGGCAGAAAATTTAAAAATGTTATTTTCATTATCATTATTTGAACGTACTTCACTGATATATGAAATTTTTTGAGTTATTCTACTGCGCCAAAATACATATAACTAAAGGTGGCAAATTTTAGAAATAACCTTATATCATATATTAGTTACAGTTAGTGCTGAACGATACGAAGGTTAGTTAAATGCGTATAATTCGAAACATATTCATCATTTCATGCTATACGTAAGGAACACGTTTTTTTTTTTTTTCCCCATTATGACAGAAAATATCTCCTTGATAAAAATCTGATTAAATTAATATTTAATGTAAATATGTAAATGAATTATAAACAACTAAATAACTCATATCATACTTATCAATCATCAATTATTCGTTACGAAAATATAAATTGCGATTCTGATGTGCATGTGCATAAATGAAAATGCGCAAATGCAACATGCAAATGGATGATGTAAATGTGGAAAACGATTTTGTAACGTGCAGATGCAATAACATGAAATGCAATATAATAGGGTTAAAATGTAGAGATTATAGATCACACGGAGAGATATGTATCTTTCCTCCAAACACACCAATCCAGTACAGCACTATGTCTGAAAGGAAACCAACCAACCATTCAGACGATTGTAAATGAATCAGGAATGAACACGAAAATGGTATGTTAATAACGAGGAAGAAATAGTTTAGCAGTATGAGAGATATAGAACGGAAAACATATGTCAGTGTGTTAGGGCAGTGTAGCATACAACACTTAGCAATTCTCGGATGGTTCAGGGGATTTGCTTTTGGAAAATTTTGAGGAATCAAAGAGATTTTGATTGAGGAAGTTTAGTTTGGTGAAGGAATCGAGGAGATTTTAGGGAAAATTTTTTTTAAAATCTTTTTTGAAAAGTTTCACAAGGATTCAAAAAGAAAATCCATTTCACATTAGAATATTAAGAATTTTAGCAGAACATTTGTGCGTATTATTCATATTGAAACATTTTCTTTAGCATGCTACGCTGAAGAACTTTTTTTTCTCTTAAACTTGCAAAGTTTTAGTATGTCAATCATTTAAAAATGTGGAAATATCAAATGTTGAATGTCATTTTCGCGTACCGTTACGCAAATCTTTTTGGCACATTTATTTTTTGTATTGTTACAATAATTTGTTAGTAAATAATGAAATAAATGATATAAGTATAAATTTTAAAGATATGATCAAATCTAACTAAACTTTCTCTAAGGTATGAGGCAGATTGGTTTTAAGAAAATTTGTCGTTGGCAGTTTCTTATTCCACATATTATTCAAAAATTTTAATCCAAAACAAATAAATCAGAGACATATTGTGCAAACAAAGTGAGAAAGTTGAATTTATTTCTTATTACAAGAAAAAAGAGTAATAATGTTCTTTTCACATCTAGCATCAGGTTCGTTTCGGATTTATGTTTCTCCGCCTTCTCTGTTATATGCTCGATTTGGAATTACATTTTCTGGAAATAATTCTGTTATGTCTTCAATATTCAGAACAAAATGGAAGAGATCAGCTTTACACGTTGCAAAGATTTCTTCAACTTTAATGTAGGGAGAAATGGAAATAAAAATAACTGTAAGGATGTTAACTAGATAGAATATAGCTTATCTGTTAAACGTAACATCTCGACCTATTTATTACCCGTTTTACTCTTTATAACACACGTAACTTAACAATCACAATGTTTATAAAGTATTTATATATGACGTTTCTTTTTTTTTTTCCTTCCTTCCGAGAAAAACTTCAACGAATTCTGTAACTGTGAACGAAAAAGTAAACGTGAATCAGTTGAACTTTGCAGTAAGACAGTGGTGTCACGTGGTGATAATTTGTTGCAGTATTTGTGAACGTTATATATGTCTATAGAAAGTGAATATGAATTTATATAAGCTTTTTTTAATATATACAAGTCACTGTAACAAAGAGCATAATCGATATAAACTTTCGAAAGTTAAAGAAAAAGACTGATAAATGGTGTTTGCAAATTTTCGGTGCATTATAAATGTTCGGTACTGGGCAGCAGGCACCATCGACAGCTCAGCCAACGGGTGTTAATATTGCCATTGAAGCCGGTTCCGAATGGGGGATTCAGGAAATTGGTTTTGACGGAGTCGAAAAATATATGCGGTATTTATTCTATTATTTCATGCTTTGAAAACTGAAACTTTATTGGTAGATTCTAAAGTGAATTTATCAATAAATTATTTCATGGCTGACTGATTGTTTTATCGATGGATAAAGTTTCATGGGTTACATTTCTCTGAAGTTGTTGTCGGATAAGTTACCGCTACTCAGTGGTGTTGATTAGCACTTGATGATAAATAATACAGGTTAAGGTTCTTTGGCGATATTTCACAAAAAAGGAACACAATTCTTGGAAATGAATTTGATTTTTTTCATATTATCCATTGCATAAATATCGTGTCCATAACGGCGGTTTACTTCTGTAAATTAGGCGTTACTAGCAAGGTGAAAGGATAAAGTAAAATCAAACAAATCGAACTTTTAATAAATTTCATACTTTTTTAGCCCCTTCGATTCTTTTAATCTATTGTCGGCACAACCTGTTAATTTGAGGTGTCAATTTTGAAATTGATTAATTGCGAACACCAGTACGAGAGGATGTGCCTTCTAATTGAAATATTTGCTTTCAGACCTTTAGACTATTCTGACCATGTAGCGAAATTGGCTCGTAAAGTGGACTGGCGAAAACTAATCGGTGCCGAAGCTACATACGATAATCCGGACGCGTTGCCACGTGATGACGGTGAGGAGGTAGAAGAGAAGGAACCGGAAGAAGTGGTCATTGGAATGGAAGATCGTAAAACACCAGAAGCTGGACCATGGCATACTGTTGCAAAGTACTTACAGTAAGTAACGATTCCGAAGAGTTATCATCAAAAGCTGTAGAAACTCATGAGTGTAGAAAAAAAACTTTGATTAACCATTGGTTTTAGTCATTTATTTGACAGCTTTCTTTATAATATATGCCTTATATTATGTAACCATTATATCGTAAATTCACCGTCGAGAATTAGACTTATTTGGACATTATTAGGATAACAGAAATATTGTTAAAATATGATGGGATGTAGAACACAGGTTTTGCAGGCTCATTCTTCATTAGCTTTTGCTTCGTTTTATAAGTTAGTGTTGTAAACTTTTATTGCATTTTGACTTTGTTTTTTTAGCGAAGCACTGCAACAAGTAAATGTTCTGGTAGATACGATTTCGGTACTAAAAATGCCGTATCTCGAAGCATTGACGGTTGCGGATGCATTTGAAGCGCAACACAACATGCAAGATGTGGTACAGCAATCCAAACAATTCCAGTGGGTTACACGGCGTAAAGCTCTTGGTGAAGCGATCAGCGTCCTAGAGCAAGCTCAGAAATTCCGCTCAAAGCTTCTTACCGAAACTGATCCTGATAAAGCGATGTTTTTTCGTGAGCTGGAAAAAATGAGAGAATTATGGCGAGTAAGGAAAACAGGAAATGTTACTTATGGCGATCTTGGCTATAAAATTTGTTCGTGATATCGATCATTTTCGAGATTTTCATTTTTTAATATATCACCATTTTTATCCTTGCAAAAGAGCGGTTGTATCTAAACATTATCTTTAAGAACCCTTTCTGTTCTACAAGTCACAAGTTAACCTCTGATGATCATTTTTATGTTGTTTCATTTCGTTGAAGCCAAATACTAAGTTCTTTCTCGCATTTTTTTTTCTTGCAGTTGGATCAAAATACAATCCGAAAGAACTATTTGATATTACTCGACGTGCGGCAACATCTGTTAGCGATGGTGCAAGCCTTTCGACATTATCCGATTCATGCCTGCAAGTTCAAGTACCGTGTGATCTGATTCGCCGCTCTACCATTGCTGTTTCTATTGAAATTGGTTAGTTTATAGTTTCTTGTGATAATATTAGTGTCTTCGTATAGCAGCCACTTTTTAAAGTCTTGTTGATTTTTTTCCAGTCCTCGCAGTTTTGCATAGTTTTGGTTGTTACTAATCTTTATTTCGCATACCTCGTGGATTGAGTTCATGACTTAATCAATGAAGTATAGAAGTATGGAAAATTGAAACTGTGCTGGTATTGACAAGTGCACTATATTTAATGTCTAAGTAATCTTAATTTTCTACATTGTGTGAAAAACTTTTTCTGGGACAACAACAACTAAAATAGGCCAAGAACTTTGTTTGGGAAGGTGAATTTCATAAGAATGCATATAGCATGTTGATGTTCTTCGTTTTATCGATCAGTAATTTTAGATAATGACGATCCGAAAACTTTGTTTGCAACTGCGGAAAACGATTTGGATTATATGAAAGTTGACAGGGAGCAGGCAATGGAAGTACATTGGTCGAAGGCACTGCAATGGGCACAAGAAAGTTTGTTATGTCGAGATATCTTCAAACAAGTTCGTTTGAAATTTTATAATCAAATTTTTTAGTAGTTTGGTGGAAAAAAATCATAGGTATGAACTAGATGCTGATGGTCTAAGTCCTTATCTTCACTATCGTTTCTACATAGTGTGGATGTTTGGAAAGTTCCAGAGGAATAATATTACCCCCGATTTTAGCGTTGAACACTGCAGGTGGTGAATGTTTCAAGAGCAAATTGAACAAACAAACTCCAGACTATTTTGTTCCGTTTTTCTCCATCTTCTAGAATTCTATTTTTCTTGCTGCAAGTTATGGAAGTATGTTTCAGTTATGTAAAGATGCTGTCATTCTAAAAGATCATATAACAGTAATTCGTGATGGTGTTTTAATCGCTTCGTTATTCGATAATATTTTGTTACGAGTAGAGTTGGCATTTCATCCATTTAAAGATGGTAAAGGCAATCATTGGATTTGTATTTTTAAACTGGATTAAACTTTGGAAATTGAGTACATATTTAAGTTTCAAAATATGTACTGGCTTCAATTTTAATTTTTCTTCGCTGGATCAAGATTGATATATGCGAGAAACTTTCAAAAAAATTATTTTTGTTAATTTTAGGTCCTTTACCGACCGCAGGTAATGACTATTTGAATCGCGCTCTTCGTCAATTATTTTTAAGTGATCTGTGCGCGCGGAATATACGTCATCAGACGTTTGTAGCTATGCCACTGTCGACATTACCAAACACTCTTGATTTACGAGGACCGTATGCTATGACAGATGAAGAGGTATGTTTCGGTATGTGTTGGATTATGGAAGTAGAAGTAAATGATTGTTTACATATGGTTCAGCGTTAATAATTGATCTGTTTCTGAACTGCAATAGAACATCCATTTGAGTTTTATCTTTTTTTCCAAAATTTATTACATTCAAAAATTTCGATTTCCTCTCATTAAAGGACCTATTAAAGGTTATGTAGATGTGATGAAGGGGGTGAACCTCCAGCTGCAGATAAACTCAGAAGACAAAATTATGTGTTGACTTACGAATGCTAGACTGATGTGATGCGATGAATCTAAAAATTTGCGTAGCCATATCGGGCATATAAAGATGTGCCATTGTCCTAAGTTGACAAAAGTCAATATTGAGTATTGGATAGTTTTTTCCAACTTTCAGATTGAGTCGCGTTTAAGGCAAAAGCGTACTTTATTGGAACGACTGCTGTTACTGGCATCTCATTTCGTTCTAACGGATAGGGTTACGACTTCATTAAAGCGATATTTGCTTCGTGTTACGGATCCTCAGGTATATTCATGCTAAAAAAGCGAATACATTTGAAAATTTGAAAATTCTTTATGACAATTTGCTGAAGGTTATTTCAAACAAGATTATTTCAGATTATGTGGAAATGGCTTCGTGCTACTCCTGTCCAGTCTTCGATTATTGTTACAGCATCTAATAGAAATTACGATTATGCCGGAAAGTACATATTTGACCAGATAGAAAACCTCTTAATATTCAGTTCAGCAAATTTGTAAAATCATAAATGCCATTCAGGCTGTGTAATAAAGTCCCTGCCGTTCATCGTTCCTTACGTTCATCATTACTTTTATAGTGATTATTGACTGAATTTGATTTATATAAGCTTTATTTTAAGGACAACATTTTATATACGAATTGGTGCAGAGAATTTTTATGTCGCAACGAAAGAAGGCCAAAACATCGAATGTAGAAGAGATGACGAAATGCTTGTTTATACGATTGACATGCTGGTAATGTTTGATTTTGGTTTTCTTCATGATCAAAGTAAAATTTTAAACCTGTATTACACTGGATATAAGTCACGAAAGTTTCATTTCAGATAGAGAAGCAAGAAGGAGCTATTTGTTTGTCCTAGAAAGAGAATAATAAAATTATATTTTTGGTTATTATGCGAAGCGAAAATTAACGATAGCTTATTCTCCATATCATATCATTTATGAAAAGTTCTCAAAAAACATATAACTTCAGATTTGCAATTATATGTTGAATACGGTAGCGATGATTGCTAGTAAACTATGGCAGTGGCAAGTACTTCATGCAAACATCAATGCGACGGATGATCGAGCGGAACCAAGTCCGACTGTTTACATGTGTAATCAAAGTGCTACTCGGTCTGTTTTGCTCTCGTTATTAATCAGTATGATTTTCTTTCTTTTCTTTCAGGTGGTAACTCTCAAATTAAATTTATTAGTAGTGATTATAAAGAAAGGGAGATCTGATGTACACCACGAGAAAGTATTTGGTATTTACATACGATAAGGTATTTCATGCACTACAAGGTATTCCATACAGTATTTTAATGATCCAGTATTTCGTATTAGATCGTTCCTGATTCAAAAAAGATTGGTAATGTGTCCTTTCCTGTGAGCGCGAAAAAAAACAAATTTGAATTTGGATATTTTTTTTGAAAGAAAAAGAGGCACAACTTCGAAGTGACAGAGTTAACTGCTTGGTGATTTATCTAACTGTTGTCCAGTTTTCAAATTCCAAAAAAGTTGAGACAAAGAAATAGGCTATTTCAGTGCAATTTTCATGCAGTTCCATCTAAATGAACCGCCAACAATTCGTATTCAGAAATGCTTGCCAAGTAAGCCAGCAGCTGCCGAAAAACCTGGAGAATTTCTGGTTTTGAACTACGATCGATTGGTAGGTTCATCGCTATGCCGGAAAATAGATAATTTGTGCTCCATGTTGAGGAGTTGACTCTGTTTTCATTGCTATTATGGTTTGGTTTGGCAATGTTATACTAGATATCTAAATCTAGATTGGAAATTCACATTACCTTGTTGGAGAGAAGCAATCTGTAAGGAATTTGAAGGAAAGGACAGTAAAAGTATTTTGAATAACAGTTTCACTACAGTCATTCCTGAGCAGATATGTGTCCTTGTCATGTTTGATTTATAAGAATGCTCATATTTTGAAGTGCTTCTGGAATGAAGTACATGTAGATTGGAAGATAAAGGAAATAAAAGAATTAGGAATCCTTCGTATCAGTTATCCTTTCTAGGAACCACAAAAAATACGGCTGCAGTTGTTCTTTGCAACCAGTAGAATAAAAAAAAACGTGATGTAGAGTTGAGAAATCATCAAAGTGTATCTTCAAAATCGATTTGTTAATAAAGATAGCCTTTCGTATGACAATTTCTTAAGCAACTTCGAACAATTTATACAAATTACTGCAAAAAAATTAGAGGAGAAAGAGAACAGTCTTTATCACATGAAAACATTTATATTGAGGAAAATAAAAGATTTAAAACAGGCAGACAAGAAAAATCAGATTTCCGATTGTTCTGTGGTTTATGTGATGATAATTAGCTTTTGCACGAGCCAAAAAAATACAGATAAAGGAAAGTAAGTACTTACTTTCAGTTAGCTAATGTTCAGTTATATCTCTTTTCCTCGGATATATAACAACAAATGGGAATTACGACACCATGAGATCAACTGGCACCTAATGTAATATAGTCGAATTCCCAATGTACAGAATACTGAAAGAAAATTCAGCTACTTATGCAGATTTAAATTACACCGTGATAAAATCGGAAGTTTCGAATTTTGATTTAGATGTACGGGCTGGTGCTAAAGACAGATAACCTAGGACGAATGAATTCTAGGAAGACCACAAAAATAAGTCTTTTTCGTTCATTATTCTTAAAATTGTTGCAAGCAATAACCTCCTAAGCAAGTGTTTCCAATAACTTTGACTCTGGAATTTTTCCTCTTCCTATCTGCAACTTATTTTCTGACTATAAAAATTGATTTTAACTTTGAATTTCCACTAAAATTAAACTTAATGTATCTTTTTAACCCATCCATATTCTTAATGATAAAAATAGGAAAATTGCAAAGAAACAAAAATTATAAGCCGTGAAAGCAAAATGACATGCCAACTACATCCCCATTCATTAATACCAAAAATATATCCGTGGCTACAACTGCATAAGCTCTTGTAAACAGTCATGAATTGTACTGACCACCTGACGGACTGCGCTTGGCTGCTGCAAGCTTACTTTGGTAGGCACTACACGGTCGTCGACTTGGAGAGGTCGACAATGCTGTGACTGATGCAGTGGGACTTGAACCAGACGGTGATGCTGGCAACGATGCTGATGAAACCTGAAACTAGCTGAGCGGCGTAAAACACAATTTAAGACGAATGAAAGCTCCAATCACGTTCTTCGAAATCTATGGATTTTTTTTCCCAAAACCGGAACATAACTGATCACTTATCTTGGATGAAGGTTTATTTGTATTACAAATCTCGTTTTGAATTATCCATATTAACCGAGAGTTTTTTTTTTTTTTTTTCGTAATCAGAAGGGAAGGAGTTCGGATAACGACGCGAAGTTTAAAAATCAAAGAAATTTAGCAAGAAACCCACTCAACTTTAGGAAAATACTCACTTCCAAATACTTTTGTATTGCATCAAATGCTGCTGATAACCGGTCCAGTTGATCAGTTACTGTTACCGTACAATCTTTCACCGGCTTAATAGCCATTTCCAATAAATTCTCCACTGATTGCGACAAATGTCCTTGATGAGAATTCCTAAAATGTGAAATTTAACACTAACTTGACCAATATAGAAAATGGCACAGCATTGGTATGCGGAAAAGTTTCCAAAAGACAAAATTTCATTTTAACAAGTTTCTCGAGTTGATAAGCAATTCCTAAGTATGGTACATGTGCGTTCAAGAAACGACAAAGTGTGGTGAATTTTCGGAAATAAATTTATACAATGCTAGTCATTCAACCACGACTGGTCTTCGCTGAATTTTTCTTCGCTGAACTAAGTCTTGTCAGGTAGCTTGATGTACCTGGGATGATTTGTCGTACCGTTAAGTTGCTAAGTAACCAAAGCATTCCTTATAATCATATAAAGCAAAAAAACATATGATACCACCTTAAAAGAAATGAAACAAAATCATTTGTTTACCTTATCAATTCAATGCTTCGATTACACTTCATCGTAAGTTGCTGCACGGCATTTTCAAGACCGTCTATATGAGTCTAAAATTCATTTCCTATGAAAATTTTCAACATTATAAGTCTCTTCCACCTCCCGTAAATTCCTTCTTCCCTCTAGCAAACCACAAGAAACCTATTACGCTGGAAAATTATATATATATATATATATATATATATATATATATATATATATATAGTA